GGCTATTGCTACAAATATACCCCAGCGACTTAAGACTGGTTTTGTGCTCCAGGGTCACATATGATTAAAAGCATTTGGTACAACTGACGATGTAAAATCCAGTTGAATACAAATGGCAAAAAGTTCAATTTCACATGTTAGCTACGTTTATCGGGAAACGCAGCCCTGGACTCTGAATCTGAGGGGAGAATTGGACACTGGGAGCATTAGGATCAGGGGAAGGGAAATCGACTCAGTGTCAGTCCAACCCACAGTCCAGAGCAGTCCGGGGCGGGGTTTTCGGCAGGTGCGCACGCTGACCTGCTCAAACTTCCAGCCGTCCGACATGGTGGACACCATCTGGGTCAGCTCCTCTTCCTGACACTGCAACACCCGGTAAACATGCTTTGGTGGTACCTGCTGTATGAGAGACAGAGAGAGAGAGGGTGAAGACTGGTGAAGTGTAAAAAAGGAATGTGGTGGGAAGTAGAGGATGATGCCAAAATGCAAGTATGAAAAGAAAAGCAAGAGTGGGTGGGAAACTTGATGGCTGTTGCATAAGCAGGCAAATATAGTCATTAATGAACAGTAGAAACTGAGATGGACAACACTGCCACACCCGGTAAACATGCTTTGGTGGTACCTGCTGTATGAGAGACAGAGAGAGAGAGGGTGAAGACTGGTGAAGTGTAAAAAAGGAATGTGGTGGGAAGTAGAGGATGATGCCAAAAGGCAAGTATGAAAAGAAAAGCAAGAGTGGGTGGGAAACTGATGGCTGTTGCATAAGCAGGCAAATATAGTCATTAATGTACAGTAGAAACTGAGATGGACAGAAATACAGTGCTGAGAAAGTGAAGAAACTGAAAAAAAATGGATACTTATGAAAAAAAATGAATGCTATTTTTTGGGGAAAGGTACGTGGAGGCATGATAAAGGCCCTGCTCATTACCTGTGTGGCCTTGGAGTCTCGCTCAAGAATCCTCTCTTTGATTAATTTAATCAGCGGTGTGATGTTGTAGAATTCTGCCTCCTCCAAGACACCTGAAGGCACAGACACACTTTGCTTTTAAAAACTGAAATTGGATTTTGTTTCAGTTATGCATTGTTTTGACTAGATATGCTCCAATATTGAAATTCCAAATACATTAAACATAAAACACTAACTAAAATGAATTGTTGTAAATGCTAAAAGTCAATTTAGGCATCACTACATTATAATGTACAGTATGAAAAATGGATATTCATTTTAAGATTTGCTAAATATTATATTCGACAGTGTTTTTCAATTATTAGTCTTTTTAAAGATTAAATTAGATGAAGGCAAAGGTAATCTAAATAAAAAAACAGGGGAAATGAGAATGTACAATTAAATACCCAAAATCAGCTAATAGTGCTGTTAACTAAAACTATTTTTTTTAAAAATCATAATTTAAAATAGAACCGTAATAAAATTTAATATAAATAATAGGTAAAAACCTTAAACTAAACGAAAATGTGAAATTTTGTCATGACAACTAACTGAAAGTACTAAAATTAATAAAACTAAAATAAAAATTAATAAAAACTAAATATAAATATAAAAAACACTTACGAAAAGAAACTAAAATAAATGAAAACTTAAATATAAAATATCAAAATATTTATAATATAATAGTATATTAATACTAATAACAGTCAAATAGTACTGATAAATTAAAAAATAAATAAAATAATCATATGGTACTGATGCATTCCTAATTATGATGTGTTAATATTAAATATATATTATACAGTATAATATTAAAATATGGCCATCCATTTTAAAAAGCATAGACCAACAACTTTTAAGAAAGTGAATTAACAGACCTTCTTCTGCCAACTCCTTGTTATAAACCAGCTTCCCATGTCGCAGATAGTTGAGTATGGGACCAAAATAGGTGGGGTCTCGGTCAATCACATAAGCACCAGTTTCATCCTACACAAAGAGATCATAGCTCCCTCAATAATTAGATATTTCATTATTTGCTGTATAAATATCATTTCATCAAATATGTAGGCCTAATATAAAATTTATTTAAAAATAAATACACATTGTTTAATCATAATGCATTTAACATTTTACTAATATTAATAATGTGGTGACAGTCAGGAAATTCCCTATGCAAATGTACCACTGACTCAGTGCTGAAGCTGTTTAACTGATGTACAGGATGCACTGAGCAGTACATAACCCCAGGGGATAAAAATGTGACTTGGCACAAGAGAGAAAAGAACATTAAAGGAAAGGGCATGTGGAAAGTGGCAGTGAGCGCAGGTCACAGTCATTGTCCCAGAATGGCTGAGGGTCTCCTCTCTGCAATGAATTAACCTTAAAGGGGTCATATGATGCGATTTCAAGTTTTCCTT